TCTTATATTCCCTATTTTCTTTTCTTTTGTATTTTAATACATTTCTTTAAGAATTTTAAAAGTTAATTATGCTAGTAGATATTGTCTATTTTGACCCGTTACGTATCGCCGTCAACCTTAAGGTTGATTGTGAGGTCTCTCATTAGTTGGAGAGGAGAACGAAACGTTCCTTACAAGAGCGTGGAAACCTCTCCTTAACATACGCGTTATAAAATCATGAGACTGTAACGGGACAAAGTAGACAGTATCTATTAGTGGCGAGGTTTGAGTTGTTACGTAATAACTTAATCAGAACTATGAGTGTTTTTCTTCAATTGATTTATTTTGATTGAATATCAAAACGTTATTACATCTATAGTTATGATTAAACCTTAGGCAACCTCGACCCGAACTTGTTGGTTGAGAAATGATACAAATTTGAAAGTGACTCCAATCACAATTAGGAAGAACTTGTACATGATAACGCGGAAGAAAACGGTCGAATTAAAGAAGACTTGGACAATTCATACACTAATTGTCATGAATCAAAAAAAAAAAAAAAAATTAATTCTACGTGAAAATAAATGAGAAAATATCGCAAATAAGTCATTGTAATTGTATAGGCAGGGGAGGAGGTCCCTAATCCTCAATAGGTTGAGGTCAACTCGAACCGAGCTGAAGTCAACCTTGGTATTTTCTTTGAAGAACAATGTGTAGTAAATGAGCGAAAAAAAACAGGTAATACTGTAACGTTTATGTAACAGCTCAAGCCTACTGCTTGTAGATATTGTCTGTTTTCAGCTGTTACTTATTGTCGTCAGTCTCATGGTTTTAAAACATGTCTTCGAATGAGAAGTTTTCACACCCTTATAATAAATGCTTTATTTCCCTTTCCAATAAATGTGAATTTTCACAATATTTGCTAGCAATGGACTTAAGCTATTACATATAACGCAGTATCTCAATGCTATGGGTGGAACCCTTTTAGCACCCATGTTTTGTGGGTTCGACTTGTGCCAATGAAGTTTATATGGTCTCGACGCTAAAAGTTGGCATGAGACAATTGTTGCATCGATGATGTGGCTTGAATGCATCATATTAAATATTGAAATATTGTTATTATACATAAAAAGATGTATCAAGATAAGAATACATATTTAATTTGAATTGTAACGCCTCATGGTCAAAATTATCTAATGACCCGACATTCTCATACATGCAGTAACGCCTCTTGCGACATGGTCATGTTGTTACCTACTTCTCGCTTCTTAAGAGTGAAAGTTATTCTTACAGACCAACACTAGTCTTTTCAAGATTCCTAAAAGGTATAAAATTGTTTCAAGTAAATCACGCTTAACTATGGAGTTTCTATGATCGAGCCATCGAGAAGGAATGTTCACTTTATTCGTATAGGCACTAACTTTCATTTCTTTAAGTCTATCTTAGTCATCCTATTTTTAGAACCGCTCTCATTCAGTTCATCTATTTACCATTCCTTTATTCATCGTATCACACCCGATGAACTTATAAACAATATCAAATTAAATCTTTGGATGGGTTGGGAAAGTTTTGATTCACGAGCATTAACGTGCATAAGCAATTATAATGTCAATTACTTTTCCCAATTTTTGATATCTAAAATGGAGAGAGAACTTGCAATAATTGAATAAAAATGAGACGGAAAAACCCAACTTTTTGTTCTTTCTTGATTTTGATTCTGTGTCTTTTGTTTTTGAGTAAACAAGATAGCCATCCATGGATCAACATGACCAAATTGTCCTTCTACTAAATTTAAAAACTCGAGCGTGACTCCTCACCGAACATGGCCAAATGCAAAAGCTGTCTAATAGGATCTGTCTCATGGCCTTCACAACAAAATCTGTCAATTGTATAGGATTTCTTTGCCTTTATCTGAAAGAAAAAATTTGAAAAAGGTTGAGTATTTAAAAATACGTCATAAGTGATTTCATTGTTGAAGTCAAAAATACAAATGCATGCAACTTGTCGTTGACTATCATGATTGGAAGAACCTAAAACGTGAATACTCTTGGACCTCATATTCTTTCGGTGCGAAATTGGATGTGCATTGACTTCATATATTTGGCTCATATACATGCCAATAGATTCATGAGGTGAGTATCAATCCTCCTTAGGCTCGACTATGATCATATAAACGCTCGTGCATATGGAACCAACAAAAAAAGATGTAAAATAAAGTAACGTGATTGTATGCATATGCATAATGCTTGACAATTGGTATCAGAGTCATGTCTTAACTTAGTCATGTCAATAGAATTCTCAAATGTCGAACAAAGAAGTTGTGAGCCTCGAAGGTGTAGTCTAAAGTGACTCGAGTGTCGAACAAAGGGTGTACTTTGTTTGAGGACTCTAGAGAAAGAGTCGAGCCTCGATTAAGGGGAGGTTGTTCAAGGGCTCCACCATAGGCCTCAGGGGAGGCTTTATAGTGTACCTTTAGTCAATATTCCTCATGGAATTTTCTCTCTCCTGATCTTTGTGTTCATTTTGATCGAGTGCGTGCGTTATTATGCGATCCTAACACGGAAAAGTAATTATAAAAGGAACACACACTATGCATGACATCTTAGTAAGAGAAATCAATGGTTTAATGATATGGTGCAACATAACGTGTACTCATACATAGTCAGAACTTTGACTCACACGACTTGCATATATATCATCTATCAAGATCGAGTTATGTTGAACTGAAGCCTTTACACATAACAAACCATTACACCAAACCCTAAACACTAAACTAAAGCGTTGCATCGAGCCAAAACCTTGCACTAAACTGGAACCTTACATCGAACTAAATCCTTGCCATGAACGAAAATGCTGCACCCAACTAAAGCAGTGCACCTAGCGAAAGGGTTGCATTGAACTAGAACTTTTCACTGAATTGAAGCGTTAATCTAAACTAAAGTGTTACATCGACCTAAAGCCTAGTGCAAAACAAAGGCAAACCAATGCACGAAAACAACTACTTTCACACTTTTTTCAATCGTTACAATTATTACACGATAGACATATTGAGTAAATTTTCTAACAATCAGGGTACCCTCATAATCTTGTCTCGTGCACATCTAATGCAACCTCAATAATAATGGAGTTTTATAGCTAATTAAGGAGAACATTAAGTCGATCAAGTATTCACAATGGTTCTACATGTTTCTTCAATGACTTACTCGAATAATTGAGAATAAACGTCATTAGAGACATCAGATCAATAAATTAAGTAAAAACTAGACCAAGAAGGTATAAACTAAGACCTAAGTCATTGAAAAGGCCAAAAATCACATGATAGATGAAGACAATAAATTTTTCCACATCAACCAATGTGGAGGCCATTTAAATTTGTGCCCCCAACGGTCGTATGTGCATTAATTAATTAATTAATTAATATAAACAAAATAACCTCTTACGTTAATTAATGCTAATCCTAATAATATATTGCACTATCGATCAGAACTTGCATATAAAATATTTGTACATCAAATTGGAGTGGTAAAAAATTCATATGTGTTTAGGTTTTTATTTAATTTCATAATTATTTTTTGATTATTTATTTTTAAACCACTTTTACAAATATTTTTTTTACTTATTTTCAAAAAAAAATTTATAATTCCGTTGGGTGGGTTCATTATTTAATGAAGGTTGTTTAGGTTGAAGAAATTTACCATCGAAACAAATGGGTTTATCTAAAAAACGTATCAACCCAACACAAACCAACTCACGAACACTCCCAAAAGTGTTCACAAGAAAATTACAGTAGTCTAAATATGGTAAAAGTTATGGTGAGGAATAGTGAATTTCATATCTCCACGATAATATTGTTGGATGATGAAAGTCCCACATCGGTTAATTTAGGGAATGGTCATGAGTTTATAATCTAAGAATACACTCTCCATTGGTATGAGGCCTTTTGGGAAGCCCAAAGCAAAGCCATGAGAGCTTATGCTCAAAGTGGACAATATCATACCATTGTGGAGAGTCGTGTTCGTCTAACATGGTATCAGAGTCATGCCCTAAACTTAGCCGTGTCAATAGATTGACAAATCCTTAAATGTCGAACAAAGGATTCGTCTAACAACGTCGGACTTTGTTGCATTTTATAAGAATATCGGGATTACCACATTCTTAAAAATATTCACGAACTTTTCAAAATAGCATTAATACCTTAAACTTTATGAAAAGCTGTTTTCGTTAATATGTGGATAGAAATCGTTCATCAACATACCATATGTCATCTCTCGTTTTTATTTTCAAACGACTTTTTGAATATTTTTTTTATTCCCTGTTTGTATTCCTCGTTTCCTAAAACTTTTTCATTCACATTTTTTTTTTCTCTAAAACATTAAATCATTAAATAAAAATAAGAAACATTTATGAACATTCCCAACACAACTAATTCGAAAGAAATGTGGTTATTTGGGTGTTATGTTTATGCTTAGAAATATTTATAAATAAAATATTTTGTTTTTATTCATATATTAACGATATGAATTTTTAAATTTTTTTTAAAATTTTTAGGAATTAACGTTATTTTTGAAAGTTTATAGGAAGGTAATACTAACGGTTCGATCTATATACAGACGATAAAAGTATCCTTTTAACTTTTAAAAAATGCTTACGGGTATTTTTGAAACTTTTTTAAAAAAATTCGAGAATATTTTTGAAAATTTTAAAATTTTATAGGTATTTTTATTAATTTTATAACTATATTTTTATATGTTAGGAAAAATTATTCCATATAAAAATGCTTCTAAATTTTTTTAAAAAAATTATTTCAACATTTTTGTGAAATTTAAATTATATTCTTTATAAAAAAAAATATATATACACATTGATAAGATCCACAGATTTATTAAATATAATAAAAACAAATCCACCACAAAACAATTTTATTCAATATTTAATATATGGAAAAAAAATTGATGTGGGGGCAAAAAAGTATTTTCACAATTTTGCCCTCCTTATAAATATGTGTTGAAACAGAGCAATTTCATTGCGGACGTGTGATTTGGCCTCTTCTTTCCTTTGCAATGAGCAGCCAATGTAATGTGATCTCCGCCACCGCCGCCAAAAATTCTGACCAGCTTCCGGTGGTCGTGGTCATGGTTCCGCTAGCGGCGCATGGCCATCTGAACCAACTCCTCCACCTCTCCCACCTCCTCTCCGCCTTCAACATCCCCGTCCACTTCGTAGGCACCGCCACCCACAATCGCCAAGCCAAGCTCCGCCGCACCCACACCACTACCGACGGTGGCGCAATCCAATTCCACGACTTTGACATACCCAGATTCCAATCTCCTCCACCGGACCCCACCACCGCCCAGAAATTTCCCACCCACCTCATCCCCTCCATCACCGCAGCGGCAATCCACCTCCACCGCCCTCTCGCCACCTTCCTCCGCTCCCTCTCTACTAAAGCAAAACGACTTGTCGTCATCCACGACTCGCTAATGTCGTCCGCCGTTGAAGGTGTCGACACCATCCCGAATTCTGAATCCTACAGCTTCCATAGCATTTCAGCCTTCGCCGTCGCACTCCACATCTTGGAGCGTAAAGGAACGGCTGCCGGCGGCAACAATGGTAAACGTAAAACGACGACGTTGTATGAAGATTATTTTCCGAAGGAAATGAATGTGCCGCCGTTGGAAGAGTGTTTTCCGGCAGAGTTTTTGGAGTTCATCGGAGCACAGTTCCGCCGGATGCCGGAAAACGGCGCCGGAAAAATTTATAACGCTTGTAGGGTAATTGAAGGGCAATTTTTAGAAGTGATTCAAAGGGTTGAACATCACCTTCATCATTGGGCTCTGGGTCCTTTCAATCCTGTCAAAATCTCCCCACCCTTCAAGGTATGTATTTTTTTTTTATAATCTATGGGTATAATTCAATATCGTAATCATAGCTAGTCGTGCATATAACCAGTGAAGTTGGGGTCTTATGAGGATCTATCCTGAACGAAGTGAAAATTTCACTTGTCGAGATGGGGACGGAGATTTAATCTCCCGCCCTGTCCCCATCTCCTACTTTTCATGGTTATTGATGGATTTGATTTATTATTAAAAATAAAAATAAACTAAAACAAAAAAGGGAAAACTTTTTCCCCTAAGAATCTGATCCCATGATTTTACGATTTTACGTAGAGATTCCCCAATAAGATACCAATGAAAATCAATGAAAACTTTGGTCGAGATAAGAATGGAAATAAGCATTAGAGACTGGACCAATAAATATTGCATCATCTTTAAAAAAAAAAAAAAAAAAAAAAATGACAATATTTTTAAATAAGTTGGGACATTAATTAACACATTTTTTTAAAACAAGTTGAAAACATAATATTATAAAAATTATTAGTAAGTAAATACAATAATAAATGTTTAATTGTTAATTGCTAGTGTTAAAGTCTAGGAGTTTTCTTTTTTTTAAAAAAAAAAAATAAAAAAAAATTATCAACGTAATTAGTTAAAATTGAAATAATTAAACCTTAGAAATTTTTTGGACAAAAATAGTTATTATTTATTTTTTTTAAAATAGATTTTGTTTTCTAAAGGATTTTGTGTTGACTGTTTGAAAATGGGGAAAAGTCAACGTGCAGCTGCATAGCGTGGCTAGATCAACAAGCGCCTCAATCAGTGATGTACGTCTCGTTTGGAACGACCACAGCCATGGCGGACCAACAAATCAAAGAGATAGCTAATGGGTTAGCCAGAAGCCACCAAAGGTTCATCTGGGTCCTCCGAGATGCCGACAAAGCTGACATCTTTGAAAGCGCAAACGTTCGAAAGTCCGACCTCCCGGAAGGCTACAAAGACCTTATCGGCGACAGAGGGTTGGTGGTACGAGAGTGGGCGCCGCAGCTTGAGATTCTGAACCACCGAGCCACCGGTGGGTTCATGACGCACTGCGGCTGGAATTCATGCATGGAGAGCTTAACCATGGGGGTGCCCGTGGCTGCATGGCCGATGCACTCTGACCAGCCGAGGAACACGGTGCTTATGACGGCAGTGCTGCAGGTCGGGGTGGTGGTGAAAGAGTGGGGGAGGAAGCAAGAGGAGGTGGTAGCGGCAGCGACCGTGGAAGCGGCGGTGAGGAGATTGATGGTATCAGAGGAAGGGATGGTGATCAGGAGGAAGGCAGAATGGCTTGGGGAAGCTGTGCGGCGGTCGGTGGAGGACGGTGGTGATTCTCGTCGGGAGTTGGAGGCTTTTGTCGCTCATATAACGAGGTAGATTCAATTCAAAAACGAGAAATTAGTGAGAGAAGTTTGTGTTTGTATGTAATTGTTTATAATTGTTGCACAACTATGAAAAATGAAAGAGTTCATTTGTGTTCTTTTCTTTTAACCGAAAAATGGTTATCGATTCAAGAACGAAAGAAAAAAAAAGAAAAAAAAAAGAGAAAAAGGAGGGTGTGGAGCATAATACCTCCCGATCTAGCCATTTGGAGACTTTTTTCACTACTAATGAAGTATGAACGGCACGTACCCTGTATCCTTTGCACATGTCGTACCTTGTGACTGTTTCATGTTTGTTTGTAATGTTATGTGCTAATTGTGAGATATGTCATGTAATAGATTGTCATGTTGACACGTTATGTCATTGATGATTGTGCTATGTTATGAAAGTGTGATACCATGTTATACACTACATTATGAAATGACACAAAATGATTATGTTACGTATGAAATGACCGAAGATATAACTTGCACCATAGATACATGTCGTGATTTTAAACTATGGGGAACTCATGTCTATTGTATATTCACACGCATCAAGATATTTTCCCAATATGATTAGTATGGACACGCATACACCACAATGTTATGATACGATATTATGTACATCATGATAATATGCGTGCTCCCTTCCCTCTCTGGTATACTGACAGCGTGAATGTATGCTAGTCAAAGGTCATGTCTAAGGGGTACGTATACAAGCTCGCCTAGTGGTTCATTTGTGCGCGTACATGTGTTGTGTGTAGAGGTAGAGAAGTATTACACCTCCAATTCTACCCAAGTTGAGACAAAGACCATGAAATGATAGGTCCAAAACATGATGGCATATGATTGCGTTTGATTGCATTTTTTGATCCCAACAATAGCTTACTTACTGAGTATTTTAAGTAAGTCCATCGTGTCATTATGAAATATTTTAAAATACTCAAACCACGTTCTACTATTTTTTTTTCAGGTAAAGGTAAGACTCATTTGCATGGATGATGACATCGTGGTGACGGTCAAAGAACTGAAGTTAGAGTAGATGCATTCATGTTACTTTTGTTTGTATCCTTCTGGTTACTTTTTTTTTTGTATCCTTCAGGTTAGATCAAGACCATAGGTGTACCATTTTCGAGTCATTTTTCATAGGTGTACCATTGACACTATTTTTCCTCTTTGAGACAAGGGTCATTAACTTGTTCAGAAAAGTTGGTTTCTCGTTTTAGTATCATACCAAATCCACTAAAAATTGTACTAAGTGTAAAATATGGAAGAAAAAAAACATGTACTCATGTCTATACGACCTCACAACCTGAATCCTCTCGAGAAGACCCAAATGGAGACACTTGAAAAATATTGAAAGGAACTTAAATTGTATGGAACGTTCAAATAAAATGAATTTGACACATGTTTAGTAAGCTTGGGAAGGTAGTAAGTAGTCATTCAGACTTCACTTGTAGGGATACCTAGAACATGCAAGCATATTATAACAGCTCAAGTCCACCGCTAGTAGATATTAGATTGCTAGAACATGCCAGAATATTGTAATAGCTCAAACCCACGGCTAGCAGATATTGTCCTTTTTGGGCTTTCCCTTTAGGATTTTCATACTTTTATAAAGAATGTTTCGTTCTCCTCCCAACATGGGACCTCACAATCCACCCTGCCCCCTTTAGGACCCAGAGTCCTTGCTGGCACTCGTTCCCTTCTCCAATCGATATGGGACCCCTCAATCCATCCCCCTTCAAGGCCCAACGTTCTTGTTGGCACACTGCCTCGTGTCTATCCCGTTTCGGGAGTCCAATATCCTCGCTGGCACTCGTCCACCCTTCAAGACCCAGCGTCCTTGTTGGCACACTGCCTCGTGTCTACTCCCTTTCAGAGCTCAGCATCCTCTCTAGCAAATGTGGGAACCCCCTTTGGAAGTCAACATTCTTGCTGGCACACCACCTCGTGTCCACCCACCTACTGGAACATGCAAGCATATTATAGCAACTCAAACCCACCGCTAACAGATACGGTCCTCTTCGGACTTTCCCTTTCGGACATTCTCCTCAAAAGTTTTTAAAACGCATCTATCTACTCATTGAACAACAATTCCACATGACCTAGGTCATAGCATATTAAGGAAAAAGAGAAAAAAGCAGGGAAGGGGGACATTTTCATTCTACCTCTCTTTGTAATCTCAAAGAGTTTAAATACACAAGCCTCAAAAAAACTAATTCCAACTTCAGTTACATTTCAAGGACTGCACAGGTTCTTAAGATCCTCCTCTTTAGCATACCACCCCGGTATTATCTTCGAAACATGCGGGTACAGATCTTTATACGAGTTTCTGATCGTCCCTTCCGCAACACCGGTAGCTACCGATATGTCTGTAAAACTCAAATCCCTTGATTAAATTTCATATCAAGACTGACGACAACAATGCTCGGGAGAACGGGTCTAGTTTTGTTTCAAGGAGAAAACCATAACTTTCATAATCAAATAACAGAGTCATTATCAAACAAACATGCCCAAATGAACAGATTATGAACATATATGATGTAGTGAAGATTATAGCCACAGTCAAACATTACCTTTTAGAGGCTTCTTATCATCTGAAAGCTGAGTAATAATGTAAATAACTGCTGCAGCAATGGATATTGGGCTTCTCCTGAAATGAGGGAAGAAAATCCTCTTTAAGAAAAAAGTGAACCAACAATAATCCTGTCCCCAAGCTTATTCAAAACTTTATCCAATGTTTTCTAATCTAAGCATACATTCAAACAGTTTGATAAGCTGAGGATAAATCGATCAATCAAATTATATGTTAAAGAACAAGGGATTCAACCAAGCAGTTACTTAGCTAGGCCAGTGGATATCAATACTACTTAGGCACTGCAGATTTCGTCGAAGTTGGCCAGAAGAGGTATGTGTACGGGGCAGATGTCATCGAAGTTGAGTGAACACTTATCAAACCAGCCAAACAAATAACTATAAAAGCAAAGAAAGAAATTCATCATGTCCAAATCGTTACCTAATATCGAACTCTTCAGATTTCTGTACAGCTTCTTGGGCAGCTTTAACAGCTTGATTATTCATGCCAAGATTAGAACAAAAACGCCTCTATGTTCATTTAGGAAAGAAACTTGATGTCAGAAGAATAACACAACATTATCCGTGATCGAACTTTAAAATAATTAAGTTGATATTCTCACCATAAAGTTTCCAGCATGTATCGTTCCCATCTCCACAGACTGACCCGTCTCCAACCCCAACTGTTTCACGATGTATTCTTTTGCTCGGCCAATCTCCTTCTTTGTTGCCCCATTAGCAACAGAGCAAATTTCTACTCAAAACCAGCATGATTAGGTAAAGAAGAGAAATCTTAACTACAAATGCTCCAGATATCAAATGATTTACAAGCAGTACCCTTAACTGTGCGGGGTTTGTCTTCTTGTCGACAAGCAATGTATAAGCAAGCAGCCAATAAAGCATCTTGATTTCTTCCTCTACTAGACTTTTGATCTTCAACTCTTTTATATATCTCATTCGCCCGATCCTATGAACAAAACATTTACAAAATACCAAGGCTCAATGCTAGTGAAATGAATGGAACTCAAAAACAAAATCTAAAACTATTGTGGTCTTCGAATCTAAAACTATTTTGTTCTTAGAATTATTCATCGTGCATCAATTCCAGAACCAAAGTATAACGCAAACGGTGAAAAATACATTATTTACAACCTTGACAATACAGCATGATCATTCTATACTGACAACTAACCTGAATGCTTTGAGAAAATACAAGAAATGGTAACTCGTGTCATTTTGTCATAATGGATGGAAAATTGCATACCTTAATGGTTGCAACAAGGCCCAACCTGAAACACATTACAGCTAACATTAGTCATGCGTGACCTTTTCTTTTTCTTTCTTTTGTTGATTAAATGCCAAGTTTTGTTGAGAAAGATGAAAGAAAACAAAGGGCATAAAAAGAAAATGGCCCATGAAGAGGAGCTGAACTAAAACAAAAGGCACAATTTAACAAAATATGCAAACTCATGACTGTTGTACCAGCTGTACCAGCTCTGATACCACTTGTTGTGCCATAATGCCACAACAAAAGATGTTCTGATATCCAAGTGTTGTAGCGGAATGCCACAATCAAAAAATGCTTTGATACCCAACTGGTGTAGCGAAAGCCACAACCAAACAAATAGCACTCTAGCTAAAAAAACTATTGTCTTGTAGTGTGAGAGTGTGAAAAATACACTTTGTAAACACTTTGGTTAAGGGAATTTCTTCTCTCCGAACCACGTAAATCTTTATATCTCTTTGTTTAATTTCTGTTTGTGGATGTGTGAGTGCGATCAATCTTGCTTCTGCTTTTGGTACAACAACGGGGTATCAGAGCATTTTTGGTTTCGGTATTTCGTTACAACAATTGGGTATCTGGTTTCGTTATTTCACTACAACAATTGGGTATCAAATCATTTTTTGTTTCGGTATTTCGCTACAACAATGGGTATCAAAGCATTTTTGGTTTTGATATTTCGCTACAACAATTGGGTATCAAACATTTTTTGTTCCGGTATTTCGCTACAACAATTGGGTATCAAAGCATTTTTGGTTTCGGTATTACGCTACAACAATTGGGTATCAAAGCATTTTGGTTATGGCTTCCGGTACAACAATTGGATATCATGGCATTATGACACAACAAGTAGCATCTGAGCTTTGGGTACAACAATGACTTCATTAAGCATTATATATTAGTCTCAGATTGTTATCATCAAAGCTAGGACACTTGTAAACAAGCAGCTCAATCACAAAATGCATGAAAATAAGAAAACAAAATCATAAAAAGAATCATGATCATGAGGCAAGGCCAATTATAAAACTATCAAACACTAGATGGAATGATTAGCATTAAGTTTATCAGTTTTAAAATCCCATTAGAGAGAAGAGGCTGCCCCCATAATGAAGAAACCCTTCAAATTCCAAAGCAACAAGAAAAATTGACCTAATTGAATCCAGACTTGAGAGTTGAAATACCCTAATTTAGTATCCATCATCAAAAGTTCCCCCACGAACACAAAAATCATCAAACTACTAAGAGTTTCCAATTCCCACCTTCCACCATTCCAATTCGATCGGTTTAACATTACGATTTAGTTAAATACAAAGAAATTTAACTAATTCCATGTTTCCTCAGCATCCAAAAAACGATCAAAACAACCAACCCCCTTACCTATCAGACATAGTAGCAATTGTCTTGAATGCAAGAATCAACCCTCGATCTGGATTAGACCCACGATTCTGCCACCGACCTAATGACGAGGACAAGAACTCCCCGGCCGTACCATTAGGCTTGGCAATCACCGTGGAAAGGCCACCGTCAGCCAAAAGCGGGTTGGACGGTCCACCAACACGAACCGGGTCGTTATCCCCAGACTCATTGGCAAAAGTCCTCCACTCGGAGGTCTCATCGATGGAGTGCGACTCGAGCACAAGGCCGCACTCAGAGCGCATGGTGTCTCCGGGAGAGTGATCGAAGACAACCTCCGTCTGACGCTTGCAGTCGGAGCAGAACGCATCGGACATTGTTCACAACCTCCTCCTCCTCCTCTATCCCAAAGAAAAAGCTTCAGAAATCAGAATTCAGGGAGCAGAAGAGAGAACGAATCCTAACTCCGGCAGAATTTAGGATATTGATTCGTTGATCCGCCGGCCGTCGAATTTGATTCTGACGATGGAAGAGGAAAGCGAATGGGGAGAGTGGGAGAGGAGGGTATTTATAGAGAGAGGAATTTGAGATTTAGAAAAGTCATCGACGTTTCGTGGACGAATAGGGTCTGTTTGGAAATGCATATCTTCAAACTCACGTCTTTCTTTACTATTCATTATATCATTTTTATTTTTTATTTTTTATGTTTTGTTACTATAAATATGAAGATTTTGTTTGTCGTTCATTTTGCCTCCTCAAGAACTTTGAGCTCTCTGCTTCGTCTTCTATGCCCATTTCTGTTATTTCTAAACCTTTGTTCAGCTCTGTTTTCATGGCCCTTCTCATAGCTCATATGGCAAACTCAATTTGATGCTGTCGCAGCTGAGCCTCCTTACGCTCAAAACATTGGTAAATATAAACACAATATTAATTTTTTAATATATTTACTTAGCGTTTTATTTGTAGTCACTACAAATTAAATATATATTTAGATTGGTTGCTATCCATGCATAGATTGGTTGCTATCCATGCATGTGGGGGTAAATCTTTGTCTCTTTATCCAATTTACCTTCGTGAGTGTGTGAGTATAATCCATCTCAGTTCGTCTATTAGTACAACATGTATTGTGGAGGAGCTTGTGCTTCAAGGTGCAAATTATCTTCAAGGCCAAATCTATGCAACAGGGCATGCAGCACATGCTCTGCTCGTTGCAGATGAGTGCTGTCAGGCACTTCCGGCCACTACAATGCCTGCCCTTGCTACGCGGACATGACCACCCACGGTGGCTGCCGAAAGTGCCCCTACATATATGAGTTTCAAGAGTTTGGAGAAGGTTTGAAATATAGGATTTGTACGTAGGTATTAGTGGCTAGCTAGCTTATATCCTACTTAAAGGTTATGAATATCAATAAGAACATATACGATCCCAATTCTATTTTTCTCATTCTTAACAAGATTAATACAAAATTTGTTGGTATGAATTATATAAGAATGTATGAATCATTATGAAGAAAAGTGGGTCGGTTTTCATTATTAATGCCCTTTCAAAGAGTTGATAGAGATATTAAATGCTGTTTGAAAAATTGATTTAGAAAAGGCTATTTACACCAATTACAAATTTCAAAACTGTGTTTCAACCTAAAATAAGAGTCTATAAACCTAAGCATAATAAAGTTTCATGGGTTAGTCGAATTTGATTGCATTTAAATTACATTCGAAATATTCCAATTCACGGTTTAAACCTGAAGACCCAAGCCCCAAATTTCACTCGCTGCGTAAACTTCTATGTCCGGCGTGCCTCAACTGTGGCAATCGAACGTTGGACAATGTCTGGGAAAGTAGAGACAGTGAAGCAAAATGAGAGTGAGAGAACACACTGTGCAGTGGTGATTGTAAGTGGGACTATAGATGGCGTGATCAAAGACCAAAGCTAGAGGAGCAAGAGATGAGATCGAGATAGCAAATTGAGTGTGTAACGATCCAACTTTCCTAAATCTAGACCACATGGATCGTCACTAGATGCATGTTATCATCATTTTAAAACCCGAGAGACTACACATGAGGTTACAAACTCCTCGGCACTGCGAGCAAATGATCTCATCACACCTTGTAAGCCTTTACCCTTCTCTAAAGAAGAACCCAAAAAAAAAAAAAAAAAAAAAAAAAAAAAAAAAACCCTCTACTTGGATAGATATGCTTACACACACGATAAAATGTAATGTAAAACCAATGAATCTAAAATTGTTCAAAATAACTCATCGGGCCTATGTCCCTAACTAGACTTGAAAACACTAATCATCTAACTCAAAAAAATTAAAATCTTAGTCATCTAACCAATAATCGAGAACTAAAATGTAACTCAACTAGCCTATAATCATGGTGGTACAATTAACTCATTCACTAATGAATAACTGCCTCGAGCTTTATTTCATAAACATTGTGTCATTTTATACATGCATGAGGTCCCATAAATGCTTTTAACAAAAGTATTTGTGTATTAACAATAACCACATAATCATATACCGGAACAAATGCATACATATCTAACTACGTTAAGGTCATCCAATAGTAAAATCTCTAAGATGGCATTCCTCCCTTTCACTGGCTTAACCCAATCTAACCCTACTTCATTTACTTTATTTGGTTCTGTGAATACTCATAGTTTGAACTTGTTCATTCCTTCCAATCACTTTTGTCATTAGCTCCAACAACTATTCGGCCAACCACATAGATGAGCTTATGATAATGCCTTCAACAAGTATTCGGCCAACCACATAGATGAGCTTATGATAATACCTTCAACAACTATTCCAAGCACTTTTCAGAATACCTATGTTGGTTTATAAGTATTTCCAAATAAAGATCAAAACGACTCAAATCACATAGATGAGTTTATGATAATGCCTTCATCAATTCCCCTTTCTTACCTTTACTTAGACAGACACGGCAGTGAGGTATTTTTTATGCTTGCTCAAGAGCACATTATGTTAGGTTCATAGGCTCGCCAAATCTCATCAACCATTCTGAATCTACAAACAGGGGAAAGAAAACTTCAGTGGCAAATATGTTCTTACTTGCGATATATATTTAAGTGATGCAAAACTTGTTTACAAGACCAATATTTAATGTGAAGCAAGAGCTCTCACAGTTAGAGTAGTCAAGTGAAATATAGTAATTCAAAAAATCTAATCCATATGTTTGTCAAGAACATTAATAGAACGAAGAAAATAGGTTTCGGATAGCAAAATCGTGATAACAAGAACTAGAGTATGAATTTATTATGCTAACTACGAATGTTAATGTTGAAATGAAAATTTTGTTTTTCATACTAATTAGTTGAGCTATGGAAGTGTTATCACGTTGATCTACAATGAGAGAAACGAACCAAGAGAGGGATTTTGCAATGGAGCGATTGTACTCAGGGAAGCAAAGCAAAGTGAATTGAAGGAAGTCAACTCAAAATAGATCATCTGCCAAAGAGATTCAATGTGAGATTCCATATCGGTTGGGGAGGAGAATGAAACATTTTTTTATATAAAGGTGTGGAAACCTCTCTCTAGCATATGCATTTTAAAAACCTTAGGGGGAAGCCTAAAAGGGAAAACCTAAAGAAGACAATATCTACTAACAATGGGTTTGGGCTGTTACAAACGGTATCAGAACCGACGTCTGGCAATGTGTCAGCGAGGAGGTTGAGTCCCGAAGGGGGGTGGACACGAGTCGGTGTGCCAGCAAGGACGCTGGGCCATAAAGGGGGTGGATAGTCCCATATCGATTGGAGAAGGGAACGAGTGCCAGCGAGAACGCTGGCCTGAAAGATGGTGGATTGTGAGATCTCACATCGATTGGGGAGGAGAACGAAGCATTCTTTACAAGGGTGTGGAAACCTCTCCCTATCAAACGCATTTTAAAAACCTTGAGGAGAAGCCCAAAAAGGAAAATCCAAAAAGGACAATATCTGCTAGCAGTGGACTTGGGTTTGGGCTGTTACATTCAATGCTCGACAAGATGCCTCCTAAAGCTTTTTGAGGTCTGCACTATTTAGGGCTCGTTGCATATCTCAATCACTAGCACATAGAAATCATAATGCAAAATGAAATCTCCTCCCAAGTCCAAAAGGGAAAGAAAGTGATAGATAAGAGAGAGAAAGTACCAATATGAATAAGGCAATAGTTGAGAGAAGCTGAATCCAACAAGCTGTAAGAAGGCACCACCTTTGACATTAGCTTTGCTGTCATATCCTTGAAGCAAGGCACTACACCACTAAGAAACTTAGCAACGGAGAGATGAAAAAACATATAAAATTTTGGACGAAAATGTAGAAGTATCCAAGATGGTGAAAGAAAGAATTTACGACATTAGAAGTAACCTAATGAATATTCAGGAAGCGGGCAATCAATGATACTTGTCTGCTGTAATCATTAACCAATGATTTTCACTATAATAGTAAACTCATCAATATACATGTTATGCCGCTCATCAACCTTTCAATAAAAGAAATAGCTACTGGCTTAATGCAATTGCACATGCTACCATATCTCAATATAAATTCAAGACTTCATCTAAAATGAATCCAATATCACAAAGTTGACTTGTCAATGCATTCAATTCTAAATGTGTCCGGTCTCCGGTGAGAAAAACATGCACTCCATCCTTGAGTTCGATCCAACTACATCCAGGCGTCTTCCTGACATGTTGTTCCTTCATCGTGTTTCTAACCTCCAACACCTCTTCATATCGACCTACAACTCCATAAACATTAGACATCAACACATAACTCCCACAATGCTCTGGATCCAATTGCATTACTTTTTGTGCAGCAATCTCGGCCAACTCCGCATTCCCATGGAGTCGACAAGCTCCCAATAAAGCCCTCCACACAACGGGATTGGCTTGAATAGGCATCGTTTGGGCTAAATCATAAGCATCCTCTAAATGCCCAGCTCGTCCAAGCATATCAATCACACAAGTGTAATGCTCAATGGTTGGGATAACACCGAAATCATGCTCCATTTGAGCTAAGAACATACGCCCTTGACACACAAAACCTGCATGATTGCACGCCGATAAAACTCCAACAAACGTAACTTCATCGGGCTTAATTTTGGCCTCGCACATGTGAGAAAACATATCCAATGCATCCATACCATATCCATGCATACCATAACCCATAATCATGATATTCCATGATGCCACATCCTTATTGGTCATTGAATTAAAAACCTTTTGAGCATTGTTCATACTTCCACATTTTGCGTACATATCCATAACAGCATTATTCACAAGTAAATCATCTATAACTCCATTGTCTCCATCCCTTCCCAATCCATTAACAATCATATATCCATGAATTTCTCTACCATGCATGAGGGCAGCCAAATGAGAGCAAGCTGGAAGTATGGTTGTGACGGTTACCAAATCAGGTAGAAACCCAGAACCTAACATCTTATCAAAAAGCCTCAAGGCACCATCATGGTCACCACATTGTTCATGAACCGATATAATTGAATTCCATGAGAAAATATCCTTTTCATTCATCGTCTCAAAAACCATTAAAGCGTCTCCGATATGTTTGCATTTCCCATACATATCGATTAGCGCATTTGAAACTGCAACTCCTGAATCATAACCCATTTTCATCACAATCCCATGGACTGTTCTCCCATTGTCTAGGTGTCCCTTTAAAGCAAAAATAGACAAAATGCCAGTAATTGTAAACCTACTAGGTGAAACCCCTTCTATATGCATTCTTTTGAAAATCTCTAATGCCTCATCAAGGCAACCAATCTGGGCGTACCCATTGATCATTGCATTCCAAAGCACAACATCTCTTATTGGCAATTCTTCAAACACCTCTTGTGCATCTTCCATTGAGCCAAGCTTCAAGTAAGTATTAACCAAAGCACTACCAACAAACAAATCCAGCTCCAACCCCATTTTAAACAAACATCCATGAATCTTCTTCACCTCCATGACCTCACAACAAGATCTAACTACACATGGAAAAGTGTACTTATCAGGCATCACACCCTCTAACCTCATTTGCTTATAAAATTGAAACCCAATTGAAGCAAGACCATTAGCAACAAACCCAGAAATTATAGCATTATATGCAAACACATTAGGCTCATAACACGGATCGTGGAAAACCAAAACAGCCTCCTCCATTCGACCACATTTGGAGTACATGTTGATTAGGCTAGTAATAGATGAAGGTGAATGGGAAAAACCATAGGTGATCATTACAGAATGAAGCTGTTTTCCTTTGTTGAGATTCTTAGATTCAGCACATGATTGAAGAAAAGCAATGCATGTTGTTACGTTATTGAGCAATCGAAAATCTGAAGGCTTGGAAGGTGGTGAAGTTGACAAACTAAGAAAGGAAGAAGAAACAAAGTAGTGCTTCTTGGAGACAATTTTGGTGGAGATCTTTTTGTTTGTTATGCACCATGCTAATCTATCAACAACGTTGTCAAAAAATTTGCTTGGTTTTAACATATTCAACATCGTCACCTATAACAACAACACACAACCAAATAAACAAATCAAATCTACTTATATATACAAATGAGAAGTGCAAGCTTCCATAGAAAATTGAGTTAGAATTTCATGAAAATTTCTCCTTGAAACACTTTAGTGCGTTTATGATAGTCCTAACTCCATTAAAACATACTACTCAACATTCAACTCATTACCTTTCTATAGATTTTCGTGTATAAACACATCTAAACATAATATGAACACTCAGGAGTTAAACAGAAACAGAAAATTAATAAAAATTATGAGTAGCAGCAGGAGAAATGGATGGAGAAGATAAGAAAAATGGGGTGGTTTAAGAAGGAAAAAAAACATAAATAGTATAGAATTTCATAAACATGTCCAAAAAAAGAAGAAGAAGAAGGAATAAGCAAGTGACGAATCATTGCCCAGAAAAGCATAGATTTCATCGCATCATTACTAACAAAACAGACCCTGGAAGCTTGAAACCAATCCGAAGAGACGGGTATACCTAACCGGAAAAGTCATCGGAGAGTCGCTGGAGACTCTGGAACTGGCGGCGGTGTGAGAAAAAGACCAACGACGGCGTGATGGCGGGAGAGAGAAAAGAGAACAGCAGCGTGTGGACCGGAGGAAATTGAATCGCAAAGAAGCGCGCAAGAACGGAACCCTACGTCAATCCGAAGTCGGTTCGGGTAAACCGAGAAAGGTCCGAACCATATCCGGCCGGTCTGATATAATGGTTGAACCCAACCATTACAGAACTGCCTGTGGGTCTGCTTGTGAATTTATTTGGGCTTGGGCTTGGGCTTCGTATCTTATGGATATATATAGGTGTTTTTTTTATTTTAAAAGTTATTTTAAAATTTTAGGGACTAATTAAAAATCAAATTAAAATCTCCCTAATCGAAGGTGACGTCAGCTAATTATATGGTGCAAGTTTTTCCATAGTGTTGATAAGCTTCGAGGGGTTGATCGAGTCTTATTTGTGTTACTCTTCCATCACATACGGTATCTGGACTTGCATGATTAATGACGTTAGATTTAGGGGACTATGGAGCTGAGACACGTGAATCCAAATGTATGAGTAAGTATCTACTAAGGTCCCTCAATTTCGCTTGACGAGCTATATAATAGTTCGCATATCTATTCTCAATAGAAGAGTCTCTCACCGAGTATTTTTAATACAGTGTATTTTTTTAAACAACTTTTAAATTTTAAATGTATTTTTTGAAACAAATTTTCATCCAAAACTAACGGTAATGATATCTCTTCGACTTTCTTAGAAGTTTAAAGGTATTTTTATGCCAAAAGGACAAATATATATATATATATTATATTATATTATTAATGTGTATAAAAAAAAGTATAAAATAAAAGTAAACAATAAAATTGTCAAATTCGGGTGATATTTTTATTTTTATTTTCTTTCACTTATTGAAATGTAACGGTCAAATTATGCTGCTTATGTTACGATTACTGACTTGCCAGGTGGGTGCTGCCCGCGGTCTGTTTCAGCCGTCACAAGCTATATATATATATATATTGACTAATAATGAAAAATTGATCTTATCATTTGGCAAGATAACGATGCTCTAAATAATTTTTTTTTTTAAATAAAGAAATAATTAATTTCAGTTACGATCTACATACATATTTTAAGTATTAATATATAATTCGAGTCAATTAAGATGTGTTTAATAACTCCTTTATTTATTTATTTGAAAAGAACCCTTATATTTATTTATTTATTGAAAACAACCCTTTTATTCCTTTTATTTTTTATACTTTACTTTCTTTAAAAGAATTACTCTTACAATACGACACTCGTAGACTTTCTATTTGATTGTATCGAAATGATCTAGCAAGACTCGTCTATGGAGGGGTGAGTCGAAAAGCCTAATTGATAGATGAAATGTGAATATATTTGTATCACTGTATATTTGTCCCGACGGATGGAGGAGGTTAGGCTTTACCATTCTCAAGTTCTTTAAATACAACATATCATCCAGTTCAAGATACTTTAGTCAAGTTCTTGACACTTGAGAGGAAAATCTCCAAAGAAGGACGAGCACGTGATTATGGTTGGTGGAGACTTAATGTTCGTAGCATCTCGATGCTCCACCTTCACGATTGGAGAGGTTTGTTGGTTGTAGAATGAAGTCTTTCAATTCTATGAGAGCGTAGTCTTGACACTTGAGAGGAAAATCTCTCAAGAAGAACGCGCACGTGATTATGGTTGATGCTGACCTAATCTTCGTAGCATTTTTGAAATGTTATTGTACGTTACATTGTTCTCGTTGATTTATTTATATTAAGAAGTTGTCAGATAGAATAAAATCTAATATAAATAAATTGGATTTCTGACAAAAAAAAATAAAATAAAATAAAATAATAATAATAATAATAATATAAAAAAAATTATATTTCTAAAAAACTAGAAATAAGTAATGAATGGGTAATTATAAAATTGGAATAGTATATTTAATTCTTAGTTTCTAAGGAATTAAAAAATAATTAAAAAAGGGAAATTATTGAAAGAATTAATTAGGCATTGGCGGCCATGAGAATCAAAGCAAAGAGATTCAAAACTTAATTGTGTGAAAATGCCTATTTGGATTTGACTCGGAATATTATTTTAAAATCCATTCGAAATTTCCTAAAAAAAAAAAAAAATAAATAAAAAAATCCATTGGAAATGGAATTTATTGGTCTTTTGTCCCTGCCGCAAGCAAGCGTCTCATTTAATCTCATCACGCGCTTTGGTTCGCGCGTGGTTAACACTTTCCTAAAACTAAGATAGGTATAAATTAAAATTAGATGATCCTTTAGTCCTTCAATTAAACAAAAAAGAAAATATCTAATAAATAATTTATTTAATTATATATATATATATAGCTTTCCATCTATTTTAAATAAAACGAACGGTTTTTAAAACCATGAAAATTATTCTCGCGTAAGCTTTTATGGCTTTGCTTTAGGCTTCTCCAAAAGACTTCATACCAATGGAGTTAGTATTCCTCACTTATAAATCCATGATCATTCCCTAAATTAGCCGATGTAAGACTTTCATCATCCAACAGTTTGAACATATTTTGACGTCACTAAATTGTTTCCTTATAAAATTTTCAAGATGTTGCTCTCATATAAGATGGATTTAAGCCAAACATGTTTAATTATGAAGTTTTTACGATGAAACTATTGAAAAAGTGTAAAATTTTATGGTTATAGACATTAACTATTAAGTTTTACGAGTGTTTCTTACCCATTAAATCTCTAGGATAACAGCGTTAGGACCGATAAGAGGTTGCAAACATTAAATAATTTTCTTAAAAGGCTCAATTTTAAATCTTTTTGTTATACTATATATTACAAATAATTAATTTCACCATAAATAATTAGTTTATTATTTTCTTTAAAATGAATAATTAGTACCTTATTTGATCCTGCATGCTATTTGATTTTTATTTTAAATATATTATATACTTTGAACCATTCAACTTTAAAACGATCATCTTAATGTACGTTATTTTAATAACAATTAAACGTTCAACAAAATTTAAACAACATGATATATATATATTTTTAGAATATCGCAAAAAAAATCTTAATAATTTTTTTATAGGCTAAATTAATTTAAAAAATCTAAAAATTTTATATTTTGTAACACTTTAAAAAGAATACTTTGTATTAATTGTTTATGATCAGAAAATCGTATATTTACCTCTCATAGATCATTTTTAAAATTTTTAATATTATATTTAAAAGTTGATGGATATTTTTTAGACTCGGTGCTAATAATTCAGTCCATATACCAATAGTAAATGGTTTTTGTAAATAAAAATTTTGAAAGTTAAGTATATTTTTTAAACGGAAAATTAAAAGGTAGTTTTTAAAACTTTAGAAAATTAAAAAATTAAGGGGTTTTTTTTTTTTCAATTAAAACTTTTGAAGTGTAAAATTATTTATTTATTATTATTTGAAAGTTTTACTTTTGTTTTAAAGTAAAAGGTTGACATTTTTGGTTGAGTATTTTAATAAATAAATAAACACTAAATTGGTAATAAATTCAAACCTAATCCAGTTGTACTTATGGACAAAGATTAAACAGACAGTCAAATCTTAATCTTTGGAAAGGAACTGACAGTCAATGTTCTCATTACCCTCCAAACAAAATCTTACAGTTACGCTCACTGACAATATTTAATATTGCCCAATTTGCCACGCGCTCTGCCCTCGCCGGCGCGTCGCCAATACACGCTACTCATCCTCATTTATTATTACCTACTATATTTCTTTTTAGATTAATTTTTCCAACTTTGAAAATAATAATATTCAATACTCATTTATTTAATTAAATAATTTATTTTATATTTGTACCTATTTATTTATTTACTTTGATAATTTAATTTTAGTTTTGACATTTTTGTTAAATATTAAATAAACATTAAAGTAATAATAAATTAAAACCTAATTGTTGACCATTTTTTCCCCTAAAATAATTCTACCTAGTTTAATGGTTAAAGTATTTATACCTTTCTTAAAAGTTCAAATTCCTCTCCCAATATTTATTGTATTAAAAATAATTCAAAAAATTAAAAAGAAATATTTTGGTTCTTATACTTCCTTCGAAGTAAAGATTCAACGAGTAATAATTTAATCCCTATGGTTATCGTTTAAAACTTCTTACTCAAATAAATGAAATAATTATAATTTTTTAATCTCCAGCTCCATTTAGCTAACGGGGAAGATCTCTATTTACTCCTTTATTATTTACGATTTGAATGAGATTTTCTAATATGTTCTAGGTAAGTCTCGATAGGGCGGTTAAACAGACATCTACACTCAATGTTTTTTTTTTTTTTTTTTGGTTAAATAGACTTTAAAATTTATTTTTTTATACAATAAGATTCTGTTGAAAAATAATTAAAAATAAATAAATTTAATGATTAAATTATAGGTTTAAAAAAAAGTTATTCTATTAATTATAAATATAAGAAAAGAAGTGTGTTTTTTTTTTTAAAAAAAACTATTTTTAACTAAATAAATAAATATTCTCAGGGAAGTTTGAGGTGACACGCGCTTTGCCCTCATCGGCGCGTGGAGAAAGCTTCCCCCATACGCCAGCTTGTTGCCCTCTCTCAATTTCTTTTTCTTTCTAATTTTTAGGTAAAATTTTTGAGTTTTTGAATTTTTTTTTTCTTTCTAAAACGTTACTCATTTTTAGAAGTTTATAATATTAGGATATGAACACCTCAGTTTGGTTTAATTTTCAATGAGTTACCTAATTTTTGGTATAGCTGATATCATTTTTATTTCTATCTAAGTTGTCAGGGGAGGGTTGCAGCTATCGATACAAAATAGTGTGACACTGGCATGTGAAGAGAGAGTAGAAAGAATGTCGAAGAGGCGAGAAATCAACGGTAGATAGAATGAATATTCTAGCTTGAAAGACAAGAATTCGAGAGCGATCGTAACATGAGAGAGGAGAAAGGGTGAGAGAGAATCTACGTCACTCATTGTTTGAGGAAGAAAATTTTGTGTTCGTTTAGGAAGAAAGAAGAAGATAAGAAAAAAAAAGATACTGTGAAAACAAACTTCAAAATTAGGGTTCTTTCAAAGGCCGTAAGACAGGACACTTTAGAG